AGAAGAGCAACTTGAAACATTGGTCGAGGAGCAGAAGCAATGTAAATCACAATTAACTGAACTTGAAGAAAAAAGCGTTCACATTCGCAACCAAAGGTTGTCTTGGGAGGGGGATCTACGAAGAAACCAAGAAGACGTTGCACGTAATGAAAATCTCTTGCAACAATTAAGGGAGCAGAAGAGTAACAATCTTAAGATTTTCGGTCCTACGATTCCGGATGTACTTAAAGCTATTAATGGAGAGCATAGATGGAATAAGAAACCTGTGGGACCTTTTGGATTATATATGAAATTATTAAATCCTGAATGGAGTGATACTCTTGAATCTGTGATTGGTAATACTTTAAGCACGTTTGCTGTTAATAACCATAGAGATCAAAGGCTTTTGGCGGACATCATGAAAAGATTTAATTGGTATATAAAATAAATTCACATTATTTTTTGTAATTTACGTATAAACTCATCAAACTTATTATTTCTTAGTAATTCTCCAATTATTATCGGTGAAGATGATAATTTTGATTATACGCAGGGAGAACCTGATAAACGATTTCTTACTATCTTACGAGCATTAAAGGTATTCAGTCGATTCTTATTATTATTTTCTTTTTTTAATAACTTTTAATTTTTTAGATCGATGATGAAAATGTTAAACGTCGTCTTATAAACAATAATCGAATTGAATCGATAATTCTTGTTGAAAAACGTGCGGAGGCCGATATAATAATGCATAATAACGGGAATGGGTTTCCTCGTAATGTTGAGGGATGTTATACAATCGATGGATATAAAGTTGGTCATAAGTAAGTAACGTTGTATTCCAAACTATTGTCGACTACATTACAAAAATTAATATATTCTACCATATACGATTACATTTTCAGAGGCGGTGGTTTTTCAACACAATCTATCAATAGATATAGAGGACCAGCTAGATTTAAACAAGATATTGATGGCCAAATTCGGTAATTTATTTCGATAATATTGTCTTTATTAATTATCAGTATATTTATTCTAAGTTATCTTAGAGATGCAGAAAGGAAATTATCGGATTCTAAAGAGACGAATAGTCGTTACAAGGTTGAATTGGAAAGAGCTGAATTTGAACTGAATAAAGTAAATGATGAAAAAAAAGCATTATTGGTAAGTATAGTCTATATATATATAAATATATCTATATAAATTAAGGCAATTATTATTTATATAATATCTTTTTTTTTATTCAGCGTAAAATCCAAGATGATAATCGTGAATTCAAAGAATTAAATAATCAAATTTTACAATTAAAAGAAGATCTACAGGTTGTGATTTGTAATATCAAAATTATCAATGAAGATTATTTTATTTTTATATTAAGTTTTCTTTAAAAAAATATTTTTTTTTCCTTGTGCTTATTTTTAGCAAGACGAACCAGCAAATATTGCTGCTCTTGAAGAAGTCAAAAAAGTTAGTATTCTATATTTCTATATATGATTAACCATGGAAATTTTATTAAATAATCCGTTTATATAGGAAACTGAGCATGAAATTGAAATGTATAAGGGACAATACGTCAATATTCAAAGAAAAAGATTACAATTAACCGATGAACATGAACCTTTAGTGAATGAATTCGAAGACATTCAACAAAGACTGGATGCATTATCAAGTGAAGCCGAAAGTCTTGGTGTAAGTTGAGAAAAGAAATACGAGTAGCAGGTTTATAATATCTTCATCTAAAGTTTTATTATTAGTTTGATTCTATGATAATTAAACATTATGTTAATTATACTATTACTTTTTGTTAACATAAAGGCTAATATTGAAGAAAAAGTTCGAACACGAGTAAAGAGCGAAATGAATAAAAAACATTGGGAAAACAAATTAGCGTTAGAAAAAGAGAACATTGCCACTGCTTCATCCGAAGTTGAAAAAAAAAAGCTAGTTCTGGAGGTAGTCATTATTAATTTCATTTACTCAATTTTTATTTATATTTTAACATCTATGATTGCCCATATATAGGAATGGACAAAGCAAGCGAGAGATTATTGTCCTGAACGAGTTGAAGTAACTAAGCCAGCACATGAACTAGATCGTGAGATAAAACAATTTCAGGCTCGACTAAGAGAGAGAGAGAAAAAGTAGGTCTTATATAAATTTTTATAATATTACATAATAACATTGGCTTAAATTTTTTTCCTACAAGACATGGTGCAAGTCTCGAAGAAATCGCATCAGCTATGGCTGCTACGTGCGATGCCTATCGTAATGCAAAACATGAAATCGAACATATGGAGATATTCGTCAAAGTGCTATCAATATTTAAAAAAAATTTGCTATTTTTAATGTTTTATAAAGTACTAAGTTCAATTTATTATGATATTAGGATCTCAAATCTGCTTTGCAAGATCGTATGTCCAAGTGGCGTAATTTTAGAACATTTATTGCTGTTCGTTCTAAGATACAATTTACATATCAGCTATCTAAACGAGGTTATTCAGGAAAATTAATGTTTGATCATCCAAATAAAAAATTGTCCTTACGAGTTTGTATATCTTAACGAATAATTTTCATTGTAAGCTAAAAAAAACAAAAGATATTAACAATCTTCTAATATTTAGGTTCAAATTGATGACCAAATAGGTCAAGGTAGTGATAAAGATCCAAAATCTTTATCTGGTGGAGAAAAATCATTTTCTACCATCTGTTTATTGTTAGCTCTTTGGGAAGCTATGGGATGTCCTATTCGATGGTAAAACTATATCATATTCATGAACTGTTATTCCTAAATATATATTAATTATGTTTATTTGTACTTTTAATAGTCTTGATGAATTCGATGTTTTCATGGATGCTGTAAATCGTAGGATAAGCATGAAAATGATGGTAGATTTAAAACTTACAATTAATGAATTTTTATTATTCTTTATGTATCATTATCTTAAATTAATTATCTTGATATTAAATAGATCGAAACAGCACGTGAAGCAGACTGCACACAATATATTTTAATTACTCCACAGGACGCGAGCAGCGTTTCACCTGGTCCTGATGTTCGTGTACATAGGTTACAAGATCCTGAAAGAGGTCAAGCAACTTTAAATGTTGACCCGTGTGTGACTGATTCTTAAACAACTAGTGTTATAATCGAAACGGCTAAATGATTTCTTTTTACAATTATTATTTGAATTATTTTAATAAAGTATTATGTTAATTTTTGCGCAGTAAGCATGACGTAATTGTATGAGTAAATATAAATTCACGTTATGATTAGTATAATTAATATCTTTGTTGGAAGATTTCTGTATATTTCCGTCATTGGATTATAAAATAAAAATAGTAAATACTTTGGTTTAAGAAGGACTGAATATAAATCAATAATCTAAATACCACGCTACGATTGGTAGATACTGAATTCTTTAAGCCTTGGATCTTTCGGAGATAAGTCTATGATGGAAAAATTTTAATTTATTTTTTTTATAAAAAAAGATCACTAAATTAAATTTCTTACCTTTTTGTAGATATCAGATTCTTCAAGCCTTGGCTGCTATAATTCGTGACGTATAAACCTACCCACCGAAAAAATCAAATATTTATAATAAAAATTCAAACATCACCGGTGACACAAATAATGGATCACTTATTTACCACTATAAAAGCCTCATATCTTTTTCATCTTTTTCATCACAAAATTTCTGAGTAATGAAATTGATCAGCTGTCACATTGGTGGGAGATTTTTGGCAGGGTCTATCTAAAAACAAAGACAAAAATAAGCCCTATTTATATAAAATTCTATTTAGAAGCAACAATCCAATTCTCCCTTAAAAAGAACAATCTATTTATTAAAAGCGGGATCTTTTTAAAACAAGGCACAGTAATTTCTCGAAGTTAAGCGCAGTCATTATAAACCTTTTTTTACAAATTATTATTTTTTGAGAAATTATACATCAGAAGGTCATTTCTTTTTAGGACTTTAAAAAATTTTATTATATTAACTTTTCTAAATTTATGGATTTGTGTACCAAAACATAATACAAAAAATATTAAAGTGATTGGCTTATTTTACGCTAAATGCATTATTATTTTTATTTTTTATTGTACGAATTATAAATATACATGAATGTTTTTTAACGTTCATGTTTTGTCCCAACGAAGCTATGGAATTTCAGGAAAACTCTCAGAAACGTTTGTATCAATCGAATAATGTGACAGTAACAAATCCGCAATTGCAATCCTTTTCACATAAAGGTGAAAAAAATGTACCAACCTCCATAGTAGGCACATTTCTTCGATCATCAATATTTCAAGGTGTCATCCTTGGTTGGATTGGTTCCATCTCGTCATTGGTTTTATTAGTCTATGCATTTATGTATAGCCAAAAGATGGATGTCAATTTCGTATGGAACTTGCGTATCGGTTTATTCCTATCGGCAGTAACGGTGTTCACAAGGATAATGTCTATTATTGTAGGGTTCATGTTGCCGGCTATTCTAGCGGGCATTTTTGCCTTCATTCAAACACCAATTCTGGAATCAGGTGCAACAATCAGTAAATTAATGGAAGCATCTATGACCCGTGGTCTATGGAGCACTGTAATGACCTGCTTTAGCTTTGGCAAAACTTTTAAATTCGCTATTGTTATTGCCTTAGTATTAGCGTGGCAATATATGTTATCAGCAGCCGATTTGTACATCCATACCGTTGCTACTGGAACGATTCAACGACTACCTGGAGAAATAGTCACAAGCGCGAGAGGAATAAACATAGCGACTAATTGTACTGAAACTCTTCCTCTCTTTGATACTTGTGGACAATGGCAATCAGCTACCAATGGTGGGTTATTGAATCCAGCTAGAGCATTGAAGACTTACCAAAATACGAGCGAAACTCTACAAGTTTTGTATGCTGATGGTGGTGTTTACCTTTTACAATCCCCACCTCCAGTACAAGTCTATGCATACTCTGGGTCTGGTATTTTCTTACAACCCTCCTGTAAGCCAATAAGCAAAATATGCAAGTTAGAAGGCATAGCTGGAGCCTTTACAAATTACACATGCCCCGAGACATTATGGTCAGCCGCAGGGAACACACAAAAACATGGTGTGGATGATGTGTTTTTGAATATCACAACACTGATTTATGACCAAGTATTAGAAAAATTCAAAACATTCAATCCCATACAAGCGATTGTTTCTGCACGAATTGCCAGAGGAGGATTAACGAATTACGATTCCGAGTTTATAAACGAAACACATGGTGACCTTTCAATTTTAATGCACTGTCAAATATTCGCCTCATTAATCGAATATGTAGTCACTTTAGGATCGCTAAAAGCATCCCCATTGGGAAACTTGACAAATCCACAACTTGTGGCCCTTGTAGGTGCGTCAGCTCGTATGGCTCGACGAGCGGTTAATGATGTCGCAGATTTAGCATACAAGGGAGATAGCAAATCATTCGCCAATGGATTTGCACTTCAATGGGCTCAAGCAACCATTGCTTCATTCAGTGGCGCAGTTCAAGAAAATGGAGAAGGGTATTCTTATACGCTTGATATAAATAAAGAACAAACTGTCGTTCCAATTTCAGCTGCCTTGCTATATGTCATTATTATTGCATTTCCACCATTAATCTTCTCCTGTATATGTCTTAATTCTCTACGAAATTGGTTAAATGGTATATGTATCAGCTGGATATTTGCTGAATATATTTGTAACCCACAGAGATTATTTTATCAATCCTTAATTGGAGAACATTATATAGAAGATTCCTGTTTGAAGAGTTTGGCAGTACAGGAAAAAATACTTAGAAATGTTGAGTTAAGTATCACAATAGAAGATGGGCATATAGTACAAAACATCCAGGCATGTTAATAATGAAGGAAAGATTCGAGATTAGATCGTATCACGAAAATAATATTTATAACTTTAGCAAACATCTCGATTTGTCACATAATGTGACGATCATTATCGATTATTTATTTATTTTTTTAAGAATTAAATTATTATAAAACTAACGAAATATCATTTATTGAGTAAGCAAAAATCAAAGAACAAATTATTAGCAATTCAAATTATTTTTTAATTTAATTAGTTCTTAATTTTTATTAAATAAAAATTTGTAATGAAATAAAAGTTTTAATACATTATATAATCTTTTTAAATTATTTTAACGTTTTTTTTTTGATTTTTTAATAAAGAATTAAAATAATATTTACATTTATTATTAAACATTCTTTATAATAACTATGTCTATATATTAAAATCATAATATTTGATGAAATGAACTATAATTTATATAAATTTTGCCAACTTATAATTTTATAAACTATAATTCTAGCCAAATTTATAATGTTAACCTAAATTAAAAATTTAATAATTAAAAAATCATACTCATTACTACTATCACATAAAAATTTTCACATTATAATTATTACAATTTTTAATTTAAAAGTAATAAATTATTTAAAAGATATTAATATAAAAAACGTTATTTATAATTAGTAAATTTAATAAAAAATATCTTTAAATATTATAAATTTTATAATATATAAATTTTGCTGTTAGTTGAAGTCATAGTCCAAAATCCATTAGTCCATCAACACTAATTAGCATTTATGTATGAAATTAAAGTCAATGAAAAATAACTCATAAAAGACATAATCTACAATCCAAAAATTGTCATCACTTATATAAAAAAATACTATAATATCTGATTTCTTTAAATCATAATACTCATGCTTTTTCAAACACATGTAAAAGATGTTAATTTTTTAAATTCATGAAGCACAAAGTAACATTATTAGAACATGATCTGGGATATTGAGACTTAATAAAGGACAGTTTAGGACTTAGTATGACATTCTCAAAATCTTTGAGACACAAGAAAATGTATATCATAGGCTATATGATACAGTTTGTAGACTGTTAAGTTTTCTTCACAAGTAAAGTTTCAGTTCTATTGTATAATAAATAGAAAAATCATTATTACATAAGGCGATACAAAGTAATAAAATTAGTTTTCATATCCCGTCTGGGTCAATAAGATAGGATTTTGAAATTTTAATTTTTTTTATAATCAACCAATAAAAATGCTTTACGTTCATGTCACATGACCGAATGATATTCTTTATTAGATTCAAAAATAATTAACATAAATCTTAAAAAGAAATTCAAGAAAGCTAAGTTTTTGTACATTTTTTCTTTCCTTTACTATCTTACTTCCACTTTAGATGCTTTTTTGAGACAGCAGTATCTTTGTCACAATTGTTACAACGTGAGTCTTCATCTTTCATTAATCTATTAACATCTATACTTCCGCATTCAATGCAAATATCTGGGTAGATTTTAGTTGAGTAATAAAGTCTCTCAACTTGGGATAAACACGACTACAACTCATTAACATAAACTCTTAAAAAGTTCGTAAATAAAATCCTTCATATTATTGGATTCTTTCTCCACATTATCAGACTTTCCTCCGCATTATCAGACTCTTCATCTGAATCTGAATCTGAATCTTCACGATTGTGTTCATTTTCGTCACAGTCATCCTTTTCATCCATCTCATTCTCTATATCATTGTGTATGTCTGGTTTTTTTCATGGTATGGTCATTACAAGATCACAAGTGTTACAAAAAGACATACCACAGGTGTAAAAAATTGTATCCAAGAATTCTCACAGCATTGTTTTGTCCTTTTTAGAAAGTTTCTTTATGCTGAATAAAAGATGCAGCTTCTCACATTCAATACAATTTACAATGACACCAACATTCTTTGCACATGCAGCAGAAGGGCAAAATGGCATGGTATATTTCATTTTTGTAGTTTTTATTTTACCCTTTATTTTTATCTTGGTATTCTTAAACGAAGGTCTATGATCTTCTGTTGTTTGTTTATTATACAATTCTTCAAATAACTTATAATGCAAGTTTTCTCCAGATACTGGATTTGAAAGACAATGTAATTGTTCAAAATCTTCTGACAAACAACGAGAAGGACGATAAATAGTACAAGCTGATTCACCACATTTTTTTATTGAAAAGAAGTAATGCCTTGACATGTAACAGTATTCTATGAACTCTTGTAGACGTAACTTTAGACAAAGATAAGTTAATCAAGTGGTCAAGATCTTCTTTGAATAACTCAATCAGTATTCTACTTATCCTCCATTTTATTTGTTCTGCAGTGCGATCTTCATAGGTAATACTATCATCCACAAGCTGAATCGTTTTCCAGAATCTCTCTATTTCTGTTTCTGATGCTGCAGTAAATATTTTGAAGGGATTATCTTTAAGAGACTGGTGATTGAACACATCACGAAGTAAATCAATTGGAGCTTGGAGACTTGCAATTAGATCTCCCTTTAAGGTAAAATTTTCCTCAGCAATTTTGCAGATTTTATTCATTATATTACATTTGTTCATTAATTTCTCTGACTAATCATTCATTTTAGTTCGCATCAAACCAACACTTTGTAACCCTAGGTTTAGAATCAATATAATACGTTTAACAGGGTTTTTCCATGAATATTGTGGTGGAGTTTGAATAGCAACAAAATAATCAAGGTCAAACGCAAGAAAAAGACAAATATATGATAATTGAACACAAGCATATGTGCACTGATGATTTGGTCTACCATCCATATAGAGACACAACACGGGTTTGTCAACAAGTTCTTCTTTAAGAAGTATGTTATATAGCTCTATTGCATGGCGAATAGATGAAGAAGGTTGAAAGATTAGATCTTTTAACCCAATGTGCACTTTTCCTGAATAGAAATCGCTATTAATTGATTCAGGTATATTACATATCATTGTTACACTCAGTATGATTCCTGTTTTAGTAAAATCATGATCTGCAACTGTAAATGTAATATCCTTACTGACCACTACTTTTTTTCCTCTCTCTACTGCAGCGACTGAAAATCCAGATTCACCAACCTTAAAACAATGTTTGTTATCTAAAAATATCAAATTTGTGATTTCACTAAACTTTATAGCAAATTCTTTTTCATAGCGAAATAATGCTGACACGTAATGAACATCTGGATGGTAAGCTTGTAACTGACGTGTTTAAATCATGAACTTTAGAGATAAGCGACCGGTGAATTATAAACTACTAAGTCTTGTTGGATTTTTGAGTCAAAATTGTAATCGTAACCATTGTGCACTAGGAATTAGTATTTCAGGTAGACACTCACGCTTAATCTGATGCAAAAAATCATTTACTAAGATTGCAGTCACAAAATGCACAATTGTATCATGCCTGTGTTTGTCTACATCAATTACAGCATCTGCTGCTTTTCCTGCAAAAAATTGATCCGCAATTCTCCAGAAGATATCATATTTATTTGGTCTTCCATTACCATATTCATGTAAATCGATGGTAATGTCTGGATCTCCAAGTTCCAGAGCAAGTCTAACACATTCATCAACTTTTGCTTCATTTTCAGTTTCAGCTGCAGAGATGTCATACGTTAACATTCGGAAGATTGTTCGAAATGCTGATAGCTTAGCTTTTGGAAGAAGCAGATCACATGTATGTAAATAATTTATTCGTATTACTCATATATAATAATGAGGCGCATCGGCTTGCAATTTATTTACAATCCGCATATTCTCTTACAATACTAATATTTTATTAGCTTGTTCATTGATTTTTCAGATTAAAATTGCATTAAAAGAATTATTTCCAGAATTAAATCGATATTCTCCAATCTTAAAGGAAATGCATGAGATAAGTCCTAGATATAACGCATTTTTTGTCTATAATAAATTGTTTGTTAGTTAGATTTCTACACTAACAGTCTTAACAATATTATTTCTTCTACTTATACAGGATTAGTTGGTAGGTATTCTTCAATATTAATTGGTTCTCATGACGATAAATCAGCGAGCAAGTATTTGAGATAATAGTATTTGGCTTTATTAGCAAGCGTGACCCAAATGTTTTGGTTATGAATTTTAATTGTTATGGCTTAGTCAACAGTTTGTATAGGAGCTTCTGATGCATGATTCACAGCAGCAACATCACATTAGCATTGCAAAAACCCTACATAATTCGAAATAGCAATAATAAGATTGTCAAATGCATCACGAAGCCAATTAAAATTTGTCATCAACATCTATGATGATGTAGCATGTGGAGCAAGAGTTTGGCAATGTAGATTTAGTTCATTTGAATCAAAGGATTTTTGTGATTGCTTGTATGATTTCGGGTTTGCACGGTCAAAAAACTTAAGGAAAAATTCAGGTATGTGATAATTCTGCTTTTCGAGTTTCTGGTGGTTACGCATATCAATATACCAAATCGTTTCAGTCAAGCTAATTATAAATTATTTCCCTTGTGTGTTCGCATATGATTGAGTGGATCATTCTCCACTATGACGCTGAATCCAATTAACTAGGTCATTACGCAGTTTTTGCTTACGATTTGACTTTTCTAATTATAAAAAGGTTGGCAAGTGCAATTGGACTTAGTGTGCATTTTGCATTAGGATCATAAGGCTGTTTCGCTGTAATACCAAATTAGGAATTACGTTATCAGTTTTGAGTCAATAATGTATATTTTTCCTATATTTGTCGTAAGTTCTATAATACCACAATTAATGCTGACTTGAATTGTAATTGCAGTTGGTGTCTCGCTTATTTTAATATGATCTATGATCTCAAAATTTATTATGATAATATTAGACTCAGGAGACAGTTCTCTAGTTATAAGTTTTTCAAAAAAATTCTTGATTATCATTTCATAAGAAATAGGATAGATATACCATCCATGAAGATTTTTTGACTTTTTAGTGATGCGAATATTTGCGAATGGCATTTTTTGCTGAATTACAATAAAAGATTTATTAAAAGCTTAAAGGGAAAAA